TCTCTCTCTCTCTCTCTCTCTCTCTCTCTCTCTCTCTCTCTCTCTCTCTCTCTCTCTCTCTCTCTCTCTCTCTCTCTCTCTCTCTCTCCACTCTGGCCCTAATAACTATTCCTTGCCTATTTGCTCTCTCTCTCTCTCTCTCTCTCCACTCTGGCCCTAATAACTATTCCTTGCCTATTTGCTCTCTCTCTCTCTCTCTCTCTCTCTCTCTCTCTCTCTCTCTCTCTCCGTGCAGTACCTGTGGGGTATGACCTTCCAATATGAGACGTGACTTTTGCCTACTGAATGTGATTTTTGTCTTTGGGATGTGCCTATTGACTGGTTGCCTGTTGAACTTGGCCCCTCTCGGCCTCAGACGTTGACCTCTACGCTGATAGAATGAGATTTGGCCTATAAAAAAGAAAAAAAGAAAAAAAAAAAGACTTGGCCACTCTCGGCCTGAGACTTTGACCTCTGCGGTGATGGAATGAGACTTGGCCTAAAGAAAAAAAAGAAAAAAAGGCTTGGCTCCGGCTTGAGACTTTGACCTCTGCGCTGTGTGGACACTTCCCTGTCAACCACAGAAACACGGGGAATCTTGCACTTTCTATTTTTTTGCTCATCTGTACTTCTTTTGTTTGTGGATGACTTTTGATGGCATGTGAATGGAATGCAAGAGACGGTTTGGGGATGTTGACAGACACACACAAACACACACACTTACAGAAAAAGAGAGAGTCATCTCTATCTCTCTGTTTGCCGACACGTAGAAGAGGGCTCTTACCTGTCAGGTGTTGTGTTTGCCGACATGTGTGACAGGTGGGATCTTTGGGGGAGGTGCTCTCTGTCTCTCTCTCTCTCTCTCTCACACACACACACACACCAACTCCTTCATCCCACCCGTGCTGTTCTTCCTCTGACTCCGGCATAGTGGACGACATTCCGAGTGTCGAAGGTCAGAGAAGGAAAAACAACGGTGGGACGAAGGACTTGACATGAGAGAGAGAGAGAGAGAGACAGAGAGAGAGAGAGAGAGAGAGACAGGGACAAAGAGACAGAGAAGACGGAGAAGACGGAGAAGAAGAAAATACGAAGAAAAAGATTATATGAAGAAGAAAAATATACGAAGAAGAAGAAGAAGAAAAAGAGTGACCAACGCGACCATTCATGTCGGGGAGGGTGAATTTCAACCCCACGCATGGTGCTTCCGTCGCTGGGACGCCGACAAACCAAGTTCCAGCCAACACAGCGACAACATCCGACCCCATGTAAGGTGATAACGTTGGAACGACGCCCACCACTTAAGTGCCACCCAGCGCAGCCAACCCCGGGGCGACGACAAGCCGGGGGCAGACTGAGTCGGGGGAAGGCCTCCATGCAGGCCGCACCTCGCAGGGAGGAGGGCAAGGTAAAGGCGGAGGTGATGGGTGGGGGACACTTACCCATGTCCCTGGCGGTGGTGGTGGGGGGGAGGGGTCAGGAGGTGGTAGGTGGGGGGAGGGGTCAGGCGGTGACGGCCAGGGATGGGGATGGGTTGCCGTTCCCGTTTATAATGAGGCTGGCGGTACTGTCAACACTCCGAACGGTCTTCCTGACAGTGTGCCAACTTCTGACGACGAGTAGGCGGGGTGTTGGACGCCACGTCATTCTTTCGTGATGTAGACGATAGGGTGGACCCTAACATAACGGACCTTGCATTTTTAAGTAGTTGGCAAGAGAGAAGTGGACACTACATGGACCGCCTGCAGACACGGACGTGGCATGTGCTGCAAACAGACCAGCTGAAGACACGGATGCGGGATGTGCTGTTGTGGACAAGAGCAGACCACCAAGAGGCACGATAGACAGCGATGGTAGCCGGAAGATTGGACGAGGAATGAAGCGGAAGGCCACAAGCAGAAGAAACAAAGGGGGAACACTGACACTAGCACAGAGGGGGAGGGGAGGAAATGGGAAGGGGGGAAGAATACCAATGGCACGTGGACGAGGGAGAGGACGGGGGAGGGGGCAGGGAGGAGCAGCAACGGATGGCCCGGGGGAAACACGAGGGAAAATTGGTGGAAGCGAAGGGGTTCAGCGGTGCAATCGCCGACCCGGAGAGGCTGCTTTGGCAAAAATGCGGCGGTTGCAACGCAGCACAGACCTTTGCATCGCTTATAGACCATCTGTAAGGCTAGTGAAGGAGATTGTGCAGAAAGAAAAAGTTGCAACAAATTCAATGCGGTTCCAGATGCTTGCAATTCATGCACTTCTTGAGGCATCGAAGCTTATCTCGTGCATTTGATGGAGAGCTCGAACGAGGTTGCAATCCATTCTAAGCGGATGACGATCTTTCCAAAGGATATGAGACTTGTTGACGCGTTGCAAAAACCACGTTGGTGTGTCTTTACAAAAGGCATAACGGATGAGAAAGAAGTAGTCAAACAAAGACAGAAGAATAGAAGGGCAACTGCTAATGTCGCAAACACAGAACAAGCAGTGCATAAATCCGCAGAACAGCAGGATTGTGGGAAGGGCAAGGGGGCGTCCAAGAGGAAAGGAAAGCCAGTGAAAAGCACCGCGACAAAGAAAAACAAAAAATGATTATTTTTTTATAGAACTTGTGTTGGAGTGTGTGTGTGTGTCTGTGTGTGTGTTAGATAGATAGATAGATAGATAGATAGATAGATAGATACATGGATAGATAGATAGAGAGAGAGAGAGTACAAACATTTTTGTCCTGCAGCAGGATGCATGTGTACTGTTGTCTGTGAACAACCTTTTTTTTTGTTTTGTCATATATCATATATTTGGGTGACACGAACGCATTCCGCTTCCCACATGTTCATTGATAGAACAAAAATTTGTTGACCGTTGTCTTTTCCATTGTTTTGTGTCTCTTTCGTTTCTGCTTTTATTGTGTTTTTCGATATGAACAACGAAGGCGGGGGGGGGGAGTGCGGGGGGGAGTGGGGGGGAATTCGCAAATGTTGTCTATTAATGACACTGTATTTTCCTGTCGATGTCTGTCCCCTTCTATGGTTGTCATCGCGCGGCGAGGCATTGGTGACGTTTTGATGGTCACTCTTATTTTCGACAGAAGAAAAGGTGAGTTATCTTGCAATGAAATTATTTCATATAGAATATGTCAAAAATATGAGAACGCGTCAAGAGACACGACCACATGCTCACAGTCAGACACTTACACATGCAGACCCATCCGAAGTCACAAGCACAGTACGAGGACAATAGGCAGACACACTGACATGTAAAAAACGAAAAGGAAAAAAAAAAAAAAAAAGTGTTAGGTTGGCGCGTGCGGGCCGTTTCAATAAGAACAGTTACCATTATTTGGTAGACGGCACCCGGTGCCCAACCATGCATAAAGGCTGGCGATACTGTTGCTGTGTGTGCGACCCTTCAAAAGTGTGTTGCATTGCTTGTGCAAAGTTGAGATTCATACATATATATATATACTGTTTGTGACGATATATATATATATATATACACATAGAAAGAGAGAGAGAGAGAGAGAGAGAGAGAGAGAGAGAGAGAGAGAAAGGAGAGTAAGTCTCTTTGAGGATCTTGTTCAGAGGCAAAAACCTCCATCTCTGCCATTTTGTTTTTCCTTCCCCCCCCCCCCGGTCTTTGGACTGAACGTGACTGTTGTCGTTGCACTGACAGACGGACTCAGAAAACGATAGAAAAATGACAGCAATGACGGCGGAACAAGTGGAGAGAGCTGAGAGGGAGGTGATGAAGTACGTGACAGAGGGAATCCACTATGACAATGAGGACGAGTTGAGACTATTACGCGAAAGAGCACCGACGTACTTCAACGTCACCTTGGACATCCAGAGGTCAATAACAGCAAACGGAGAGAAATCGACGAGAGCGCAGCAGTTGCTGCATCGCTTACARCAAAGTGCGTACGTGGCTAAAGACGAGACGTTGGCATGTTGCTCTGCGTACACCCTTCAGCGAGTTGTGGAATGGATGTGTGATGACGAAGACATCGACAAGAGTAAGAGAGAGGGAGGTGGTTTTTACGACAGATCGGCGTTCAAGAAGTTTGTCACGTCTCGGGCGAAGGAAACTCGAATGTTGAAGACAGAAGCGCATGACATATTGAAGAGTAAAGCAGCGGAGATATTGGCACTCAGCAGGATGAACGAGCTACCTCAAACAGATCCTGTTCACTACCATGATTTGGCAACAGTGGTGGTGGACGATGTCGAGTACGTCTTGCTCGATCAGATTATGGATTTCATGTTGAAGACAGATAATGATACAAATTTGATTCACGAGGCCTTACACGAGGTGACAGAGGACGCAATAGCAGCAGCAGAGCTTGTTGATGTCGAGAGCACAAAGGATGAAAATCAACTAGTGTCGGGGACTCCAATATGTCAGGGGGACATATTCACAGTCCTGGAGGACCTCACCAGGGCATCAACGGAAGCGGAGAGAATGAGCAAAAGAATGCAAGGATGGCAATTGGTTGTTGCGGAAGCAATCAATGCGACACACCATATGCCAAAGAGCACACTGCAGACTACAAGTGGTGTGGGATCTGTAACAGCGGTTCAGAACCCGTTGACCATTCCTACTGTGGATACGTTGAGTGTCCATAATGCATTCAGAGCGTGGAGATTACCACTCTTTCATCCTTCACATGAGATCATCGAAGGACACGAATAAGTGGCATTCCAGGGAGTGCATGCGGATGGCGATACTAATGAGAGTGGCAATGCACAGACAGGGGATGATGAGAAACCGCCGTCATGCGAGGTGGGATTGAGTGGCAGTGATATCTGCGATGACGAGGAGGGTGACGAATACGACTCTTATTGGGACGTTCAGCATGGTGGTGGACAGGCCCCGAAAGGGTCGTGTCATGCAATTTTAAGGTTGGCACGTGTTTTCGCAGAGCCACACCCGTTGATACGTGTTGTGGACAAGGCAATAACACCGGACGGGGCTCTTCAGTTCGCAGGCGTTAAGGCAGTTATATCGTGCATGGAAAACGGCAAACGATGGCGTCGCACAGGAAATCATGGTTTGTTCTCGTATATAAGGAGACAATTCTTATGACTTCAATGTCATGGGGTGTGAACCTCAGTTGCATCATACATGGAGCAGTTGCCACTGCATGCGGAGGAACCATGTATCCCACAATGTCAACAACACATGCAATTATAAATGCACAACCAAAACGCCGACTCTCTTTCAAGACAGACGACACCATCGATGCTGCGATGGACAGAGGACATTCAGAGGAAGAACATTCGAAACACAGAAAATTCTAGGACTCTGACTCTCTCTCTCTCTCTCTCTCTCTCTCTCTCTCTCTCTCTCTCTCTCTCTCTCTCTCAACTTGACTCTGTTATTGTTTTAACCGTATCACAGTCACTTACGCTTGTGATGATGTGGTTGGGAAGTGGGGGCCATATATAAAGACGTTGTTGGTATATTACGGCGTAAGTGGCACCCACTTCCCAACCTTGTACAAATGTGAGTTTTTTTATGTCTTTATTGCTGAAATTGCATCACATTTACAGACCGGTCTTCCAGATACATTCGTGACGATATCGTTGAGATGTCGGGGCTGTGTATCAACATGGTGTTGTCGTATTCCGCCATAAGTGACACCCAGTTGCCAACTTTGTTGAAATGTTGCAGTTACACAAATTGGTTCCTAAGTCATCTCTCTCTCTCTCTCTCTCTCTCTCTCTCTCTCTCTCTCTCTCTCTCTCTCACTCTGTTATTGTTTTGACCGTGTCACTGTCACCCACGCTTGTGACGATGTGGTTGGGAAGTGGGGGCCATATTTGAAGACGTTGTTGGTATATTACGGCGTAAGTGGCACCCACTTCCCAACCTTGTACAAATGTGAGGTCTTTTTATGTATTTATTGTTCAAATTGCATCACATTGACAGACTAGTCTTCCACATATATTCGTGACGATATCATTCAGAGGTCGGGGTCGTGTATTAACAGGTTGTTATCGTACTCCGTCATAAGTGACATATTGGTTGCCAACTGTGTTGAAATGTTGCATGTAGACAATTTCGTTCCCCTCTCTCTCTCTCTCTCTCTCTCTCTCTCTCTCCCTCCATCATGTTGGTGGTATGGTGTTCCGTACAGCAGTGACATGTTACGCAAGAAAGAATGAACACTTGAAGAAAACATTGGAAAAACAAAAAATTAAAATAAAATTAAAATAAAAATTTATTACAGTGAGTTGTGTATATGAATACACAAACGAATCATGGACGTGGCGGAGTCGTGTGTATGAAATGTTGAACGTGTCTTTTTTTATCGTGTGTGTTGTGAAGCACAAAATAAACGGAACGAGGAGCGACGACAAGTAATAAGTCTCACATTATTTTGACCTGCAACGCGTTTCACGTTGCGGGTGTGACGAGATCTTATATCCTTTAAGAAAGACAGTGCAAACGATGGACGAGCGGATGGTGTGTGAATGCAGTCGTCCTTTTATGTCATTAAGGACATTGAACTCGCACAAAGCGAGAGCATGTCCCTCGTCCACGACTTGTAGAATGAATGATGCCGACGGACACGCAGGGGACGATAGCCCCGCACGGGAGGACGCGGCACCAAATGACAGTGGGGGGGGTAACAACATTGTCAATGAAGAAGTGAATGCGGAACTTGATTGTGGTTCTGAAGAAGAAGATTCACCTGATGTGCGGTCATTCGACACATCGCGCAGGCTCGCTGCAATCATGTTGTCCTCCAGGGTTGGCTTAGGGATGTCGCTGAACGATATCGATGCTCTTTTGTTAGTACTTAGAGATCCAAGATTCTCGCCACAGGAAATCGTGTATCGTAATAGCCGTGACTTTTTACGGTGGACGAGCAACCAGGCAGATACGAACGGGTGGCAGGAGATAGATCTTAGGAGTGAAGACTGACCATCAGATGCACATGCCATCATGTGGTACCGAGATTGGCACACAACGTTCACGTCATCGCTCAAAGCAATGATGAAAAGTATGCAGACGGTGTCTTGCCTTGAGGTGCAGCACCCCGAAGTACAACAAACAATCAACAGTGCTCGGTCAGGTACCTTGTGGCATCACGTACAGACAGTCATCAGAGCAGAAAAGGGTGTAGATAAAAATGGCAACACACGGTACGTGGTGCCTATTTGTCTGTATTCTGACAAAACACTTGTAGGTGGACGACAGAAACAGACGGCATATCCATTAATGATGTCAATAGGTGACCATGCACGTGATGCGACACTTCTTGCATATCTCCCTGTCCTCTATCACCGCCCACGTGACAAAGGTTGGGCTTTGCAAAGCTCCGCGTTCAGAAAACGCAAAGCCGTCATATTGCACTCAGCACTTTCTGTCGTGTTGCAAGCTGCAAAGCAAGCGTCGCATGACGAATTTGTTTATAATGATGAACGGTGGGGAGAGATAACAGTGCACCCATTCCTCTTGAGTTACATTCAAAACTACCTTGAGAGATGTGTCATCACAACGGTGAAATACGGCGTATGTGCGACATGCACTGTCTTTAAATCAGATTTCGATGTCATCGCAGACTTCACTAATTGTGGGAGATCTCAAACAATGGAGGCTCAACTTATTACCCAATTTCATTCAACAAACAATGACGACGTTCCCCGACTAACAAAAACATAATTGTCGGACTTGAACATACACACGCATGTGAAAGAGAATGGTCTGTGGGGATTTTACAAGGGTCCTGATGACGACTATCCCATGTTTGACTACCACTTGGTTTTGCAACCAGACCGCATGCACACTATCGAGCACGGCATTTTCTTGCATATGTTAGACGCATTCAAAGCATCTGCATGCGATAAGTTGAGCAACGTCGCACAAAGTGATGTGTTGAAGGAGTTGGATGCGAGGTTGCAAATGCTGAGCGAGAGAAGCAATACCACATATCCGCAACTTGTGCTACCTGTTGCAACAGATAGCGACTACTTTTCACGTGAGGGGCGTTTTGAAGCAAAGCAGAACCGGTCGGTCATGACAGTATGCGTATTCATAGTGCGCAATATAATTCCTAGTACGACAGGGAAGCGAATAACAAATTGTTTCAGAAAACTAATGGAATTGTACATTTTGATGTTTCGGTGCACAAAGTATTCGACAAATTCGCTTGACGCATATGACAATCTCATCACAGACTTCATAACAACCCTCAAACAGGTGTTGGGTTATTACCAAACCTCGAACTGGAAACTGCCAAAGTTACATGACCTTCTCCATTTTAGGGCGTGCATCGAACGGTCAGGTCTCCCTGACAATTTCGCGGCCGATCAATGGGAGCACCACCACCAGAAGTTTTGCTAGCAGCCTTACCAGTCGTCGAACAAGCGTAAACCTTCCTTTCAAATGGTAAATCACGTTCGACGGTCTGTGGCATTTCACGACGACGTGGAATGTACAAGGAAACGAAGGAAGAGGACGACAGAGAATTGGTCGTAGGTTATGGAGTGCTCGACATTCGGAATGAATACACTAGCCGCACATGACACAGCAAAGTGACAACTTCGACTTTTCTCCGACGAGAACATTGGATTACATGACAACCCCGGAGCAACGGGAACAGGTTCGGCGATATTGAATGACCTCCCGTGGAAGGAGCATTTTCGAGGTGCTCTTCAGACGTACATGTCAGAAAACGGGTGCAATCCACCAAATGACGACATGTTCATACACACAAGAACTCATCTTGCAATCGCAGCAACTGACGATGGAACAAGCAGGGGTACACTTGTCCAAACAGCGAGGGCTTCACCCAACTTTCACGGGAGAGCAGCGTACAGTGATGTTGCTGTGAGGGCACAGTCAGGAAGTACGTGGTATGCATTTGTCGCAATGTTTTTTGTAATAAGGACCTACACAGAAGAAGCGTCTACCACACACAACTGTGCCTTCGTAAAATGGTACAAAGAAGTCGATACAGAGAGATCAGATATAACAGGTAGCAAGAAATTGAAATGGAAAATGGTAAATGACAACCACCTCTGCAATGTCATCTCCGTTGACAGCATAACGAACACTGTCCACATTGTTCCATGCTTTGCAGAACCTCAATGGGGTTCATCGAGATATGCAACACAACGTGAAGACATGTTTTTCTTCAACAAATTTGTTGTGTGAGGTGAGGGGTGTGGCAGTCAACAGTCACAACATGGTCGGCTTGCGTATTACGTGGGAATGGTCGGAACACCTCTCTCTCTCTCGCTCTCTCTCTCTCTTTCTCTCTCTTTCTCTCTCTCTCTCTCTCTCTCTACCAGCAGTAACTAAGGTACTCTGGCGCGAGCAAAGAATGGCAACAAAAAGAAGACGCTCACAAGCTCGTGAAATGTTGATGACTTGTTCACAGGGAGAATGTCGCACCTTACGAGGAACAGTAGTGAACGCTCAGCAATGGCAGCAGACATGAGGACGGCGACGCGCAAACGATCAAGAAGGACAGGAATGCGAACAACACAGGAGAAGAACGTGGAATATGATAGCACAACAACAACTAGATTCAGGAGTGATAGCAAAGGAGGAAAAACTATATCGAGGAAGCGGGAGCATGATGACATCAATTCGGGAATGCAACAGGTCAACAGTGGAGTGAAGATTATAGAGAAGAAGACAACAAGTTCCACGACAAAAGGTGAAGAAGCAGCACGCTCGACACAGCGCGCATGGAAATGTGCAACACTCACGAGGGAGGCTAT